GCTCTAGCAGCACCATTTATATGACAAAGTTCTGCAATATTCGGCTGACCAGAGTTATATTTAAAACCATTTATCTGGTCAGTAAGAGTTTCACTGCTTGAATCTTTACATGGAATTATACGATACCACAATTTTCCCATTCTGATATCGAAACAGATACTAAAACCTTAACTGCTCCATTTTCCTTCTTTAAAACTAAGCTTTAATGAAGAAAATGAATTAAATTAAAAAGTTAAGCTTTGAAATGAGATTCTTTGGTTTGAGCACAGTGCGAGTGGGCATTTGACCCACCACTTTGACTGATTTCAGGACACTTGCACAGGACATAACTGCCCCCCCCCATCACTGAACTGGACAATTCACATTTATCGAGACACAAGTCTTCAAAAAATAACAAAACATCTGACTTGGTGTTATAACACCCTTAGAGGGCAGCAGTGAGTAGTGTTTGTTTATTTGAGCTTGAGCTGTCAGGAGTTGGGACCTTCTAACTAATAGCTAATCAGCCAACCTGGCCAATTTAGGCCCCTGATTTAATAGCTGCATACAATGACAATCCCCGGTTAAGCTAATTAACATGTTATTAAGTTCACTGTGTAAAAGAGTTGTGCGCTGGTGGTGGCCTTATATAGCCTTATATTACATTCTATATATAACAAGCAAAAAGACTCTTACTATGCAGATAAACAGTTCAAACATTTTCTTGGCTGGACTAAGGCTTCTGCACAGCACTGTAACTATGAGGATACAGTGTTGGTGCACTACTCAAGTCACAGCTTTGCATTTTAGACTGCCAGACGTCCACACGACACCTAACGGCAAAATCTCATGTCTATAAATACGACAGTACATGTAATTATGAACTGTTTACCATACTGAATATATGATAATCTAATACATTTTTATGGCTCATCAATCATAACTGCATCCCTCACAACAACATGTGCCATATGTTCCTCTCAGGTCCATGTAAAGACATATTTTGGCTGAAAATATATTTCCCGCAACGTGATTAATCCTGACTGCTCTATATTTTCTCTTGCCATGCTGCATCTGTACTGCACTGAGGGGTTTGAGTGCGGCGCGACGGCTGCCGCTCACGTCAGAAGCCGCTGCCTGCTTTTCATTAGCGTCAATCACACGCCGTGCACGCCGCGTCTGCCATTCACACGCAGCCTTCAGGAGCTCACTCATGCATTGGTCCCGCCTCGTCAGCGTGATTGACAGCTCAGCACTGGTCAAGCCTCCATCAGGGAGGCTGCGGGAGCAGACGCCGGGGCCAGACGATCCACATCTGCATCTCATATTTAAGTGTCATCCTCTCACGTCCGACGCTTGACGGAAATTCATTAAGTTTGCAATTTCAAGACTCGCTCGGTTATTCCTCTGAGGCCGAAGATGCAGACAAGTTTTCCACAAATCTGCTGTTTTTAAATAATCACGTATCTGTTTTAACTGAAGAGCAGCATATGGCCATCATCAGCAGCCAGCGACAATTCCTCCAGGATTCCCCTTAAGAACACGTGAATGAACAAACCTTGAAAAACACAAATGGCACCAGCAGCGCAATCGCACAGTCGCTCTCAACCTGTATGCAGTGTTCCTGCACTGTTCCGGGTTCAGAAGCTGAGACGAGGGCTGACATGCCTTTCTGATAGATGCAGCAGATTTAATTGAAGCCACAAATAAAAAAACTCAATCTAAATAGGGCTGTAAGATTAACCCTTTAAACTCTAAATTATGAGGTATGTGGGCCCCCATTTCAAATTCTCAGTGTCATATTGTCTCAGACCACCCTACATTTATTTAATTCCCAGTCAAAACAGCCACTGAGTAAGTGAGTTTTCATTTTCAGGAGATATTTCTGAGGAGATTAGATGTTAGACAATCCACTTGCATAAGTAATGTAAAATTACATGAAAAACCAGGAGTTTCCACTTTTTGAACTGGGATTCAAAAAGTGATTAAGACCTGGTAGACCACCAAAACTGACCCCATCAGATAAACAGCACTTAAAGCTTTCATCTCTGAGAGAGAGGAGAAAATCAAACTGCTTCAGATCTGAAAAAATCCAGAGGCATTTCTGTCCATCCTTCCACTGTGAGAAGACGACTCATGCAACCAACTTCTAAGGCCGGATTCACACATACCGTGTCTGCATTGCGTGAGGTTTTCATCCCTGGTCAGCGCTTTCATACAGTCTGCGCGTGCGAAGCGGCAGAGCGTCCCAGGCGCTGCATTGAAGCAGCGTGGTATTTAGAAAATCCATGCATTACACTACAAAATACACTAAAATAAGCAAAATCTGTGGGGAAAGTCTGTGAAAATTAAACAGAAAACCGTACACAAACTTTAAAACACTATTTTTAAAATTTTATTTAATTTATGACGAGATACTAGTTAAACATTCCGTGCTGCAGACAGATTTTACCAGCTGGACTACCAGGCTTGAAACCTTTGCCTAATCACAAGTCAGAATGCTGCTGAGGATAAACAAATATACCGTGTACATTTATAAATTATATTGTTACTGAGAAGAGGGACTGATGTGACTTTTTATCCATCTGGAAAGAGGAATGTCTGTATAAATTTCTCGCTGCTCTGCTTCACAGCACAAATGCTGTATGTATGAAAGGCCAGCACGTTCGAGCTGTAGCGCTCAGCTGCCGTGTCACTCATGCCACACAGAAGCAGTGTGTGAACAAGGCCTAAGACTGAACTTTGGAGGTGTGGAAAAACATCCCTGCAGACTTTGCGAACCTGAAAGCAAGTCTACTGGAAACAATGGAAGCTGTAATAAAGGTAAAATATGGAAACACTTAATACTGAAAAAACAGATATTATATTTACTTGTTGAGGCTTTTGTGTCATATTTTGTTAAATATATGTTGTTGTTGGGTTTTTTTGAATAACTTACAGCACTTGAGTAGAAATTAAATAAATAGAAGGTCAGTCTCTGACTTTTGCACAGTAATAAATGTACGTGGGTCTCCACTCCAATTCCAAAATCTGTCATAACTACAGTGGTGCTTGAAAGTGTGTGAACCCTTTAGAATTTTTATGCTATATTTCTGCATAAATTTGTCCTAAAACCTCATCAGATTTTCACACAAGTCCGAAAAGTAAATAAAAAGAACCAAATTAAACAAATGAGACAAAAATATTAGACTTGGTCATTTATTTAATGAGTTTTAGATGAAATTTACGCGTAAATCCTAAAGGGTTCACAAACTTTCAAGCACTACTGTACATCAATAACTTATTAGTTTCATAGTTATTCAATAATGTAGACTAGTTACTGAATAATAAGTCTTAATAATAGAGCTATAAGCCTACAGATTACAGGGTTAAACTTCATGTAAGGATCAGTTCTTTACTGATTCCAGAACTTCTGTCATAAACCACTGTAGATCAGCCAAATCTGCCCGAAACTGCCGGACCAGATCGAATGTGAAACTCCTCAAAATGCGAAGGTGGTAATAAACAGCGAATGCTGTAATAAACACTAAAAAACCAGAATCGGAAAGGACTGATGATGCAGGCTCAAGCATTTGCTCACAATCAACAACAATGTCAGATGAAAATAATGGAATCAAAAGGCTGATTACTTGTTTAAACAAACCCTCTCAGTGGTAATTGAACTAAGCATATGGAGCTTGATTGTGCATTTATCTTCTCATTTATCTCATTTATACTTAGCTCCTTAACCTTTACCAGGCTAGAGTTATTAGCGTCATTTTTAATATGCATTCGATTCACACTACATAATTATTTATAATGTTCAAGCGTGCACGTTGGCCCTTTTTCATTTGTTTTGATGTCAAGAAATGACAAGAATGTAAAGGATGTGTGCGCAAGGCTGTATGCACAACTCTGATTTTCATCAAATTCAAATCATAATAAAATATCTCCTCTTATATAAACAAATGGGGTAAACTTGAAAGCTGAGAATCTGCATGTTTGACAGAATGTGTCTGCTTGTTTCAGTCGGATATGTGTGAGAAATGATTAAATAAAATAGAATATGAGACATTTCAAGACGTCTATACCACACTGTAAAACGTGGAGCAGTGCGGATGTTGATTTACAGTGTTTATGCGATTTGAACTGAAGAATAAATATTGCTTTTGTTCATCTAAAGCAGGGTTTCACAAAGCGGCTCACAGGGACCGTCAATCAGTCCACATTTTTGCTGTATCCGTATGTATTGCGAGTTGGGTTGGAGCAAAAATGTGGATCCTCTTGGGGGCCCATGAGGACCAGTTCAAGACCCATAGATATAAAGTATTACCTTTCTTTGTTTCAAGTAATGTATTTATTTGACCTGAATGCAACCAGTTCAGCTACTTGTTACCAAATTAAGTCATTTTTTAGGTTGTACTGGACAAGTATACTGTGCACTGGGCACCTCGGAGGATTAAAAAAAGTTAACACTTAACTTGAAGGGTCTCTACGTGACACATTCATAACATCTTCATGATATTAACATGGACTATTATGTCATTTTACTGAGAGACATTTTTTCAAAATAAAAGTTCAACCCTATTTTCAGTGAAATGCCTCATTTCCAGAGAGCCAAAATGAAAATGTCCTCAGTTTACCCCTTTGGACACTTTGAATGTCTTTTTAATTATTTGTTTCTTCTTAAGCATTTGTATTTTGCATGTTGTTTTTTTTTATCCTTTTAAATCTTAAAAAGTAAGCAAAAAAATCTTCAAAATTTTATTGTGCACATTGTTGAGGAAAACGTTGAGGACTTTTATTTTGTAAAATGGAATAGTAGTCCATGGTAATATCATGTAAAACACGAATACTTGATAAATAAATAAATGTTGATTTAAACATTCATAAACATGTTGTGAAGTGTTTATGTAAGATGTTATGAATGTGTTATGTAGACTTCAAGTATAGTGCTGCCACGCCAATGCATCCAACAATAAAGTCAGCAAACATAAAAACATAAAAAATCTGATTCAATCCAGGAGGTGGAGGTGCTGTACCTGGGCCGCTGGCAGGGGATATTGGTCCGGAGCGGGACTGGCCAGACCCTGCGGGCGAGGCGGCAGGCGAAGGCGAGGGTCCGCTGCGCATGCTGGAGAGGCGGGGCGAGGTATGGGGGGAAAACGGAGACTGAGCCTGGTTACTCTGCTCTCCCTGACTGCTGCTGGAGCCAGAGGCGCTGACCGCTGAGCTGAGGGCAGCCTCCGTTCCTGTAGGCAGGTCATCGATGGAGCCGGACAGGTCCTGAGATAAAAATGAAATAAATACATGTAAAGATCAGTAGGAATGACGCTTCACATCACACCGTGAAAAACAGGATTTTACCCAATCACCAGTACAGTATGCGCAAAATCAGAGACCACCCCATATTTAATTAATTTTCAGTCAAAATAGCCGTTGAGTACAGGCTATTAATTTTTTCAAGAGATATTTCTGATGAGATTAGATGTAAGATAATCCACCTGCAGAAAAAAAGGGAAAGTCAAAAGAAAAATTAGTGAAAAAAAACAGAAGTTTCCAAAAATGGAGTTCAAAAAATTACATCCGTGCGAGACCCAGTAGACCACCAAAACTGACCCCATCAGATAAACAGCACTTAAAGCTTTCATCTCTGAGAGAGAGGAGAAAATCAAGCTGCTTAAGATCTGAAAACATCCACAGGAGTTTCTGTCCATCCTTCCACTGTGAGAAGACGACTCATGCAACCAACTTCTAAGACTGAACTTTGGAGGTGTGGAAAAATATCCCTGCAATTTTTTTGGACTCTTGGAAAAAACAGAAGCTGCAGTAAGGGCAAACTATGGACACAGTAAATACTGAAAAAATATTATTTTTAATTGTTGAGGCTTCGGTTAAATATTTGTTTTCTGCTTTTTTCCTGACACTGAAAAAGCTCATAATTAAAGACCATTCTGAGTGAAAATTTAAAAAATTACAGGTTTTCTCTGACTTCTGCACAGTACTGTATGTCACTAAAACAACAGTTTCATCAAACAATTATCACTGTTTACACACTTGAGACATGTGTAGCTATTAGACATTATGACAATTATAGAGGCCATTAAGGCAAACTTTGAGATCACAGCTAAACGTGGAGTGAGAATGAGTTTCTATTCACCACCCTGAGTATATTTCTCCAGGCGTTTCTCTGGGTCTCGGTGTATTTCTCAGCATCGATATCCACCTTTTTTTCAATTCTGTAAGGGTGTGGGTGCGGCACAGCCGCGCTGTTCGCTAGTGGCAGAACATGTTAGGTAATGTTTGTCAAAGCGGGCAATTACACAAAGAGGTGTTAGCAGAAGCAAGAACCAAGCCAGTCCAAATATTCAACGAGTTGGGTCGTTTTCCAACGTGGCCCAAATCCAATTTGTTTGCCGCTCTGCTGCAAATTGCTCTGTGCATTGAGTCTCCAAATAGCTGTCAACTACTCCCAGTTGGCATCTTGTATCACTTAATTCGCTCCTGAAGCATGTAATTGTCATAATAAGAAAAATATTGAGGTGATAATAGCCACTTACTTTGAAATACCCGGAACCCCATATAATAACTCGCGCATTTCTCACAGTATTTTAGGGGGCCAGTCATTTTTTGGACCAGACACCCTGTGTGTTACCAATGGCCCCCCATTTACCGCTGTCAGGAAAAGCTGTCACTCAGGAGCGATGCAATGCATCGGGGAACGTCTCACAACGAGCCGTGCGCAGGCACACGCGCACAGCTAAAAGCATTTCAATAAGCGAGGGAAATGCTACACTGTAATTTTGAGAGGAGTGAGATTTGCTTCACACAAAAGCCCCACCGACAGGCGCTCGGAGCGCGCTCAGATGTGAATTAATGAGGAATGCTGGGAGAGCATGGAGGGCCATCGCTCTGGTCAAACAGTCTAGACAGGGAGGAGTCGGTGCATTCAGCTGCTTTTCGGTCCAATTGCTGAGACGCTGGCCACCCACAAACACACGGACTGCATACAGACACCGACAGCATTCAACATCATCTGTATCCTCCGCCTGTCATATGAACTAGATGTAAATACAGCAATACACAAATTACTGTAATACAGTAAGGAAGAGCAGGATACAGACACTTCATACATTCAGCATCATCTAAGTGGACTTCCTCAGCCTGTCAACTCAACTAGATATAAAAACAGCAATATATAAAACACTGTAATACAGTAGGGTACTACTTGGCAGAGCAGGTTATAGACACTACAACATTAAACGTCCTGAAGTGAGTATACTCAGCATGGATATGAGTATAACAATACAATACCATACACAAAACACTGCAGTACAGTAATGTGTTTACAGTAATATTATTGTAAAAAAGTATTATAAATTAGTTTATCAGGCTTTCTTAATGTAAAAGAGACTAGGAGGAAACGTGAAATCTACATTGGCATCATGGAAACAGATAACATCTATATATATATATATTATATATATATATATATATATATATATATATGTATATATATATACATATATATACATATATATATATATGTGTGTGTGTGTGTATATATATATATATATATATATATATATATATATATGGTTGGTCAATATTCTAATGATATTCACAAAAGTAGGCTTTTTCTTCTGTAAAGTTATCATTTTGGAGATTTAGGTTTTCTTCCAACAACAGCGATATATATCGTTCAGCCCTATATGATGATATTTAAGTTTGCACTAAAGGGCCAATATCTCATGTTGTTGGATCAAAAATAGTCAGAATTCATTTCTTCATTTTACATGATTATTTTCCAACTTTTCTTTGTGATATATGTAAATAATGTTTACATATATTGACTGGGAAGTGAGTTATACATTATGAGACTATGACAGTGTTTTTATATTACATTTCTTTATATATATTTTATATTACAGTTCTTTATTTAAAGGAAGTGAGGAAAATTTGTTTTTCCATAATATGGACCCTTTAATAAAGTAGCTGAACTCATGTCTCCTGAGTGCTGCTACTCTGTGCTAAAAGTCTGCACTAAACCTGATATACTTTGTATCGAGGTGTCTCACAAACATTATATACTTTGTTTGGATGGTTTATTTATTCTGCTTTCTTCTCTTAAAAAAATACCATCAAAAGAAATTTTAGTATTGCTAACCAGACAGAAAAGAAACAAATGACATTCATCACATGTAACTGAATTCTGGATGAGCACAAAAATATAACTAATAATTAAAATCACCCTACTTTGCAATAGGCCCACTATTTTGCAGCTGTTATATCATGGATAATGATCATTATCTATTAATTATATTGCTAAAAATGAAACGCACTATCGAGGTGTGTGAATATCACGGCATACAGTATAAACAATATATCATCCGACAACAAGTAATACACAGCTGTATACAAAACTCTGTAATATAATACTACATTGTATTGCAGCACATGATCTCTTCAACTAGCATCTACAGTTCTGCTCAGATTAGCAGGTGAGGTGGTAAATGTGCCGGTCAGAACTGACTGGGCTGCCCGAGGGCGGTGTGTGTGTGCGTGTACGCGTGTGTGTGAGAGTATGAGAGTCAGCATACTGCCACTTCACCAGCAGGGGGATTTCTCACTCCAGCCGACAGAGGTAGAAGGTCATGAATAAACACAGTGGGCTGGTGCTGTCCACTCTCATTAGTGCTGATCTCCAGGGGCTCAGTGCCCTGCACCCCTCACCCGCTGCAGCGCACGTCCCACCCGGCCAGGGGTCTGGCTGAGTCAGCCGGCCCGTTATGCTTCCCGCTGAGGGGCGGGGGGACAGAGGGCCACTGTGGGGAGGCTGAGCTGGCCAGGCTGTCACTGCTCTGTCCTTGTCTGGAGCTTTAATTCGATAGCTCTGACTTAAGAGGATGTAGCACTGCAGTCTTGGTGGGAGACTGAACAAATAACAGAGACGGGCGAAGCTAGGGGCAGTAGAAGGGACTGAATCGGCTCCACAGGAATCAAATGGACTCATTTTCTAATCCCAAACTGCCAAGGCTAAGAACTGAACTCTGCTTCATAGTGAGACAGTGAGACATTAAACCCCTTTAACACCTTAAATGGCCAAGGCTCACCAGCAGGCCCGAAGTTTTATTACGCACTTCTGTAACCTAAGAATAGCTCAGCTAGTTTGCATTGAAGCCCTTGTAGATACTGAATAATAAGCCTTATTATGTAATAAGCCTGGAATTTTAAGAGGTTAAACACCAGACTTACATATTTTTAGTAATATAATTAATTATTATTATGTGTTGTTCAGTAACTACTATGAAAAACGTATGTAAAGTTAAGGGAGTGAAGAACTGAAGCGAGGGACTTTTTAATGATGGAAGTGCTTCTGTCTGCTTTAACTCAACTAGTTGGCTAATCAGTAGTCGTGTTCTTGTACAACTAAGATGTTGTCAGTCAAATAACTGCATTTATTTATTTATTTATTTGTTTGTTTGTTTATTCATTTGGAAGTGAACTGTGCTTAAAACTGTAGATATTTCCAGAAATAGGGGTTTGGTTGATGCAGCTATTAAGTCTCTATGCAAGTTTAAGCATCGTTCTGTTTTACTGAACGTACTGTTCCATGCCTTAGTTGTGCAATGCATTGTGTACTAAAGAGCAAAACGAGCGCAACGTGGGACAAAAACATGAGAAATCTTCCATGTGGATGCATTTTGTAACATCTACTTCTGAAGGCGGAATGCAAGCTTAAAGCTACACTATGTAAGTTGTGGGGATTTGGAGACCTCTCTGGTGGAAATGCATAACTGCAAGCAATGTGCAGAAGAATGTGTGATGTCAGTTGTGCTTCGGGCCCTTCACCCTAGCGGGGGTGTGCGCTGAAAGGGTTTTCAAAGAGAACTCAGTCAAAACTTGTAAGTACTTGGATGTAAGTTATTTATCTATTATTGTCATCATATCTTCATCCATATAATGTTGATTTTGTGTTTGAGGCCTAAACATCAAGCTGGACTTTCTTTCTGAGTCTGTGTGTGTGACGTTAGTATGTAAAGGCTTATAACGTTGTCCAAAAAAACCCAGTGAAATCAGACTGGCACCTCTGACTTATAAATCATTATTTCAGGCTCTACAGAGCGACTCACGCCATATTTTAGTCGTTTTTTTCTCTCCTAAGTAATACTTTTAAGTATTTTAACAGAAATTATACAAAGTGCTGCTTTAAATAAGTAACTAGGGATGCACAGATATGCTAACACTGGACTGATGGTGATAGATAATATTTTTTCATGTACTAC